TTGGCTACTACCAAAGCAATTAGATCGAAGGCAGCCTTCGACAAATCGAGTGGGTTGCAATAATGAGGAATATGCTTAAATCGGTGGCAATCCACTGATATAAACGACGACACGCCCTAGCCTAGCCTATGCTAATTGTAAGAGTTCTCTGTTGCAAAGACGCCACAACTAATTTGTTATGACGCCATAATATGGATTTCGATTTCATGTTTTGACATTTTTCTCATAAAATGAAGGCATTATTACGCTAATACTGTCCGGTTATGCTTAGCATACTTTGTTTTAAAGGTTGAAGTGATAGAGTTTTTCAAGGTTATACAAACTCATTTATTCGATCGCATTTCAATTTTCGCAAGGTGGTTTCGTCGCAGGGCCGTTCACGTAATGGCTTATCGGTTGCACCTCACTGCGCCAACCACTGAACTACAGCTTGAGAAGGTGTGTATGAGCCTCTATCGATATTTGTGGCGTTTTAATGGATTCGTTGCAAATATGAAGTGCTTGGCAAGTTTTTACATCCATTTTTCTTCAACCTATTTAATACAAAAAAATCAAATAGTACAGCCATTTTGAACAAAACAGGCAAAAAAAACTTGATTTAAAACAATTCTTTTAAAACAAATCTTTTTGAACAAATCCCTACTTTTAAAGAAGATATATAAAGCCTTATAAAGTTATTTTAAAGTTTCCCGAGAACTACCGTTGTATTTTGCGCATCTCGCGTTTAATGTGGCTTCAAATTATATCGTTTCGTGACAGAAGTTACTTGAAATCAAACCAGACACTGTGTGATGGGCAAGGAAATACGTTTCCGCCGTGTTTTCCTTATGTTACCTTCTTGCGACACTCATTTTATTACGAATTGTTATATTGAGTAATTTAAAAACTTGCAGCGTGAGCAAGCTTAGTGCCATCGTCAAATACCAACCAAGTCCGTCTAAGTTGGTATTTCGGGATCTAGCTGAAAAAATGGATGGCGCGGCGTTAAGTCGGCTCTGCGTTTCGTTACTACTGTCACATGGCCGACGCTTGAAAACAGAGGAGTGTTTTCACTAAAATAAAGGCACAACGCGTTAGAAAAAGGGGTTTGAGTCTCAGAATCTTAACCCCAGTTGGAAGAGCTAAAAAAAACTCAAAAACGTTTCTCCATTAGATACAAATATACGCTAAAATTGTTCTGTGAGTCGCACGGAATGTATCAGCATGACAGGGTTTGGACCACCCTGGTCTACCTTATCAAAAAACTCCCGACTTCGCTGACCACTAGATCGCTGAAATGCGACCGTGGAACCGCCACATAGTGTAAATAGTTCATTGGTCCAATTGTTGAAAAGAAAAGAATTTTTTTTAAAACAAAAATGAAGCAACAAGGAGAATACTAGAAAGAAAAAACAACAACAATTTGAGAAAACGACTCATAGGCTCATTTCGTGTCCAATAAATAAGTTTCAGTGTTTATTTTTAATAAAGAAAGTAAATATGATACTTGAAGACGAAAAATAAGCGAACATTTTAAAGTTTGATTCGTCTGGTGAACTCATAATATTTTAATAAACACCGATAAACTGTATGAAATTCTGCTCTAAAATTTCGGTGATGCCCCTCTTTGCTTGGTGCCCAAGCACGTGCTTATATTGTTTAATGGTTAATCCGGCGCTGAACCTAAGCCATTGAACAAATCGACCCTTGGTATCATGTTGTTGTTAGAATTCTTTTTTTTGTTATTATGAAAACTCCCCTTTCTCTTTTATTAATTGTTACTGGACCAATTGCTTGAAATTTTCAGTGGTTAAAGATTGTATTTGTCGATAGAAGGCTATCTATTTTATTTATTTCAAAAAGTTTGGGGCGCTCAATGGGTTAGACTACGGTACCGATAGAAGATGACATATAGCAGTGTCCATATATTTGAGAATTGATCTCTTGTCCTTTATCGCATCGTGAGGCTACCCATGAGGTTTCCCCAGCTTTATTGTTTCGAATCGACCAGCTCCTATACTAATATCATGCGCCGTACACAGAAGAAGGGGCATACGTTTATTTTAATGTTTACATTTTTTGCGATGAAAACTCACAAAAAGTGTGCTTGCGAATTGTTTAGCAAGTTAGATCTAATTAGTTTGAACAATATTTGAAATGAATCACGTATTTTTTTGTAAAAATATTCTTATGATTTAAAAAAACTACCTTCGTTGATGAAGGAGGAGAAGCAAGTAAAACTGATTTTAGAAGAAAAAAAAAAATTAGAGAAACTTCTTTGTGAGAAACATATTAAGGATATGCCAATTGCTGTTGTATCGATTGATCGAAAATCAATAATTTTACTTTTGCACCATTCCATAATTTTTAATTGCTGCTTATAAACGCATTAGTTTGGAATGATGGTTTATTGGATGACTTACGTTCTTTCCGGAAACATTTGTCAAATCACAAAGTGATAAATAACCTTAGCAACTGTAGACGAGTCGATAGTGATTGATGAACCATTGAAAAAACATGAAATATAGGCAAATGCATCCCGTAATGAAAGAACGCTACTCGCCGCTACAATTTCCAAATTTCGCAAACGACAACATTCTAGTCACAATACATCAACCTGTCATAAGCACGTTGCCAAATTTGTCTATATTTGTAGATCAGATGGAGCAGTGTTTTTCAACCTATGGGTTACGACCGAAAGCTTGGTCGCCTGAAAATTCTTCTGGGTCGCTTGTCTTTTAAACAAAAACTTTCGTTATTTCTTCATTTTATAATACATTTTATTGTTTATTTCGTACTGAAATGTTGCTCAAAGTGATTGTATACGTGGGAAGCGTCACAGTGTAAAAACATGCATACTAACACCACTAATTCAAAAAATCGCTAATGCGAGCAAATAATATATAATCTGGAGATCAATAGTGAGGCGAAAAATAGTCTTACATTATTAATTCAATTTTGCGGCCAGAGAGGCAATAAGCATATTTCTGGGTCGCGAGATTTCACTAAATTTATTTTGTACAAAATTTGAGTCGCACGAAAAAAAGGTTGGGATCTGCTGACATAGAGGATATTGTCGCGGGTACTAGTAGCCTGCCTATACCAGTGTTCTTTTGAACTTTATTTTTGTCACGGCCCATTTTTTTCGTGACCCTCACGAACTTCAGTGAGCCGATGTGCTTGCATTTTCTCGTAAAAAACGAATCTTGGGTCGCGGTGATCACGAGTCTCAGTACTAGTTGGGATTCAAGTACTATAAATTGGATCGATATTCTTTTAACACAAGTTAGTGTCCAAAAAATTGTTTTCGTTGTTGTCGTGGGGTCGCGAAAGCCTAAACCAACGGTCTTCCAGTCAGCGAAACATTGGATACCTGACTGGATAGAATGCCTAGAGTTGATTCACATTTGATGGTTCTATTACAGTTGCACCCACGTACATTTGCACCCGTAATTTACCTATTGCACCTATGGAAATTTTTGTTTTACGGATATTTGAACCCATACTAACCCTAACCCATGGATTTTAGCACCCGCATATAGATTGAAACCGCGGATATACCGGTGCAAATATACGGTCACCACATTTGATATATAAGAAACTCGCCCTTTAAAAAATGAACCAACGACGTGCATGTTTCACGATATTTAAACGTTGCTTTCATTTCTAACGACGGATAACTCGTATTGAGGGAATTTTAATACTTGGTTCGGGCATGCGTCCATTAGATGGAACGATCGCGACTATACGAACTAGGCCAGCATTCGGACCCGGCGAGGTCAATTTGCGAATTTACCACAGCACTCAAGTGACAACAAAAAATCAGAAGTGCAACATAACAATCCTGCTATGCAACCTCGTCTGTACATCTACATATGAAATGCTTGAAGGAGAAAATTAGCAAACACGATGATATACATATATATGGTGGCCCATCGTTGTCACGTGTAAAATTTAAAAAAAAAATGAAAAAATAAAATGAAAAAGCGAAAATAAAAAAATAGTTGTGAAAAAACATGAAAATAATTGAAAAAATAAAAATAAAAAAAAATTTAAATTAAAAAAAAAAATTGAAAAATAAAACAAACAAAAAAATTAAAAAAAAAATTAAGATTAAAAAAAAAAATTGAAAAAAAAAAAAAAAATTTGAAAAAAAAATTGGATAAAAAGAAAATAAAAAGGTTGACAACGATGGTCCGCCTCGTGGCCCATCGTTGTCACGCGTTTTTATTTTTAGAAAATTTGATGCTGCTTGGGACCAACGTTGTCAGACTTAATCCTACACGCACAAATGTGTTTCTAACTCACTACTGATTTTCATGACCAATATCCAATAAATTCAACATGAAAATGTTCTACAAATTCTCCATGCTACAAGTTCAACCACAAGCAATATATTTATAATAAGGATAAGAGAATATAGAATTGGATACGAAAATTTGTTTTTACGTGTAGAAGGTAATTTAATTGGAAAATGCTGCTTAACTGCTCAGACACTCGTGCGACAAAAAAAATTTTATTATCGGTTTTTTATTTTATTTTTTATTTTCAATTTTACGCGTGACAACGATGGGCCACCATACATATATGAAGAACGTAAATCCGAATCTAAAGCCAGCAAAAGATTACCCCCAATGAAAGTAACATCCGTCGCTTCGAAGGTCAAACAGAAAGAGAAAAAACCTTCGCGTTAGAAAGAAATCGGGCTTTAGAGCGTTTGAGATAACAAGGGTCAGAAAAATACCCGACCAAGACACATAGAAGTGGGCAGTCTACCCACCCGAGCAGTCAGGTTTATTCACACAATGATAGAAATTTCAAATATTGTAATATTTATATATCATTTTTACTTATCGATCTTAAGATCGGTAAGTATGTTGATAGATATTTGTATGTCTGTTAGATGTACGCGATATCTCACGAAAGCGAAGTTGAATCTGCTCCAAATTTTGCATGTGCATTCATCATAGCTCGGATCAGAAGCCTATTGATTTTCCATGAATTATGTCGTATAATTAGCGAGTTATTGATTAATTAGTGATAGGACACACGGTGTCACTATGGAGTAAGAGCACTGTTTTGGGGATCCCTAACCTTCGATTGATAAGTCTTCGGTCTCCGACCGATATTCTCGTTTATCTGTTTCTCGACAAGAGAAATTGGTGTCGCCTGTTTATTAGGTTTTCCTTTCTCTCTCTAATCCATAAGAAAACCTTTTCTAATCAACTTGTCCATGCGTGTCGTCCATTTTGCAGTTGCCTATTCAAGCACATTGTAATACGTGTAATCATTCCTTGTTTAGATGCCTTTGTAGTTCGTTGTTTACGTTAAATATTATTTGCCAACAACAAACATCTACCAAGAAAGATGTTGCATTTAAACTGAAAACAACCTGGACAAAACAATTATTGGGACCCAAGCGAACAAGTACCACCAAAAGCGATGTGGACGGCATAATAAAACACTATTTTTTCTTCATTAAAACAACGTTTATTTCCATCATCAATCATCTGTTGACTTCAAGCTCTTTAGAAAAATAGTTCTTTATCATGAAAGCTGTTTGAGCAGCTAATTCTCTAGTTTTAGTATTCACGTCCTTATACATAGTTTCGTGAATCCAGTCAGTAACTTCACCCATTATGTCCAACTTTACTAGATTTCGACCGGCGCTGATTACTGCCATTGAAACACAGAAAAGGGCAGCTTGGCGAACATACGCTTCGGAGTGAAATTGTACTTGTATTACAAATTCTAATAGTGAAGTAGCCATAGAGTTGACAGCCTGTGAGAATAATAAAACATAGCCTTATTTATTTCCTTACCAATATTATTGTCTCATACCATATATGAAGTTGAGCATGCTATATGGTGGCCCATCCTTGTCACGCGCGAAATGAAATTTTTTTTTTAGAAACCAAATAAAAATTAAAAACAAAACGGAATGAAAAAAAAATTTTTTTAAATTTCAAGCGAGAAAACGATGGGCCATCATAATGCTAATACTATAGGACTATTTCCTTGTACTGCTTTAGATATAAAGAGCGAGCAGTGCAGCAAACTTAGGATGTGGATGTCACAAGTACAGTTTGCATCAGGTACTTATGCCTGAACAGCTAACGTTAAACGCTTCCAAATCAGGGGGTTACAGGGGTGGGCAAACAACGACCCGCGGGCCAAATCCGGCCCATTGGGTACTTGAATTTGGCTCGCCGATGCTGCCGCAACCAAGGTAAACCCAATTTTGATGTTTCAGCTTAAAATTAGCTCAAGGAATTTGTTGAGATTGCAATTAAACTTAGTTTTAGCACAAGGCTTATTGTTTTCCACTTTTGCTTCCGTAACACTGTAAATATTGTTCTTAAAGGGAAACTTTTTACCTCACACTTACATGACCCTCCAGTCAAGGTGGGCAAAATTTTTGGCCCGCAGTGCAAAAACCTTGCCCGCCCCTGGGTTATACGAGACAAATGCCGGTATTATTAAATATATTAATATAGGACCTCATTACCAATGTGTTCGTTGCAGAATAAACGATAGTTCCGACAGAGTACAATAATCGTCCAAGAACGATCGAATCATTTCCCATTAAATCCATTGTTTTCAGTCGTTTATCGTAAGCAGATATTAGTGGATAGAAAAAACATCCTGCAACCTGTCCGAATTTATTTTCTCTGGGTATTGATATCTTCTTTTTTCCCTAAATAAAAATATTAGTCATAGTTGAAGAGGTAAATGGTGTATAATTCATTGTTCGCATTATCAAGATCAAATCAAATTTATAAACATATTAAAAATTCCAACCAACATGCCATAAGTAAATAAATGTACAGTTGGACATATTTTTACTGACAAAAATTTTTTTTTGCATGTATTGCAATTTGCAACTTTCTGCATGCTTAGGTTTGAAGGGAAATTGCATTTGCTGTTGGTCTGGTTTTGAAGACAATATTATGTACTAACACATTTCTTACAAGCCTAAAGCCTATTAATGCATTATCATAATGATCGGAAACTTAAAGCCAAAGTTAAACGTAAATGGTCTTGTTTCTAAGTCGTTACGTAACAATGCATTATGACAATGCTCCGATAAAGAGAGTATCTCCTTGTGATTATTTTAAACTTATATTCCGTGTCACAACACAGAGCTCAAAATAAACTGCCTATATGTGTACTGATTGTGGACTGGTAGCAGGGGTCATAGTCCTGCATTGCATTGAGCAGACATATCAGCTTCCCCCAGTTGTATATTATAATTTGAATCATTATGATTTGAAAATTAGAAAGTTTATTTCAACATACTTTTCCAAAGCGCCTCGTCTTGCTTTCAATACGTCTGTCAACGATTTCTCTCCAAGATTCCTGTTGTTCTACTTCTGAAGAATTGCTTTTAAGCTGGATAGAATCATTTTTCACTTCGTCAATTTTTTCAGTTGCTGAAAGAATCCCGGCTGCAGAAGTCAACACATCAAGGATGTCCAAACGATGCTGTAGTGAGTAATTATCAGCATAAAATTCACCGGTGAGGTAGTCGGCAACCTGAAATGTCGACAGGAATATGGAACATGTATTATCTTTTGCATAAAGCAGTAGGGTAACAATACGGCGACGTTTCACCGAGTTGGGGTTTTACGGGTAAGAGGTGTGGCTGTGACTCCTCGACGTGTATTTTGCTACTTCTTTCAGTGCAGTATTCACAACTGTATGTTGGTTAAAAGTAGGCTTACCATACTCCCGCTTTAGGCGGGACAGTCCCGCTTTTCAGCGTTTTGTCCCGCCGTCCCGACAAGTCAGCCAAAAGTCCCGCTTTTAGCGTTTTGTCCCGACAATTCATTCAAAAGTCCCGCTTTGGCATTCAGTCATTCAGCATAATACACGAACATGTTCTCGTTGCCGTCATTGCTGTGTAGCGCAACGCTAGCCTACTTACTGAAGGTGAATGCGTCATTTTGTTTGCTTCGTTGTTTCCCGCTAACATTGTTAGCGAACGTATCACATGTAAAATCAATTCTAATTGGTCCTGTTTCGATGTTCACGCGAAAGCAACATTGAACAACGTCGTTTTGAAGTTGTTATCTACAAAAAAGCATGCTTGGGCGAAAAAGTTAATTCTCAATGCTCGAAAACAGCAGACTATTTCATTATTCTTTATTCCTTCTGCTCTACATAAAAAAATCTAAATTAGGATCATTTGTATCGTTAGCGTCTATTCCTTTTTATTTTTCGAACTGAACCCGATATTTAGACAAAGAATATGCGCATGAACTCTCGATGACAATATGGTCAATGAAAACAGCCGGGATGGCTTTAAATTCAGACCTATGTAGTAAAATTGGAAACTGTAAAATTACAGGATCACAGCTAAGGGGTCGTGTCTTTGGAGGCGTCCCGCTTTGAAGTCAAAAAAATATGGTAACCCTAGTTACAAGGAACACGGGAACCAATCAGCAGTCAAGGTTTTAAGGCCGACACCCCCTATTTGAAACTTTCGAAAGACGCGTGCGGTGAAACATCTCTATGATGTATTGTATTATGTACTAACGTACGTATTGCGCCACGAAGACGCCGATAATTAGTATTTTTCCTGGCGAAATTCTATTTCCAATGACAAAAAAAACGTAATTACACAAATATCGGCGACGAGCAGTTGACGATACTTTAGAAAAGTGAATCCGCAGCCTAAATTTCTGACTCCCAATGGAGGAATACCAAGTCTGAAAAAGGTGTTACGAGTTTGTCAATTTTATATTTTCTCATATCTTGTGCCGACTCACCGACTTATCTACGCTTCAGGGTGAACTTTCCTAGTTTACCCTAGTGAAAGAACTTTCCTAGCGACAACGACTTCTGGATTTGTATTCTCGTGACGACGACAAAAAAATGACGAAATTAAACATTCATATTTTCCCCTTATTCTAAAATTGACATCACCCACGCTATTTCAAATCATGTAATCACAATAATTTCGCGTGCATGGAAGACGTATTTTGCTCAGTACCCACTGCAGACGAAAAGCACTGTTAATTTCGCGCACAATGTGCCCTTTTGTTCATTGTCAGTTCCAAACGAGCCCTATTAAAATTAGCGTCACCATGTTATTCCTGGACTGTATGAAATAGAATCTAATAATTGTGCTAAATGTTCAATCAATTTTCCATTTTTATTCGCAATAATTTGTATTCTTTGGAACACTACAAATGAACGTACGTGTGCGTTTATGGTGAATGCAATTATTACAGTTTATAGGTTATTTCCGGATGTGGATTGTATATTTTAGGCAACAAGAAAAATCAACTATCAACGTTTTTTAACGAGTGCTATAATCGCGGCGTTTGTTTGGAAGTCGCTGCAAGGGAGTTTCCGAGCTGCGACATGGAAGTTTCAATATTAATATTTAATATAGTATTTTCAACTATTGATTTGTGGGTAAGTTGGCTGGGTTAATGAACTTGTCATTCAGTTCACATTAACGATAGTACATTGCCAGGATATAAAAATTAAGCTAGAGGATTATAGAAAATACAGGTCATCAGGATTAAGGCTTGGAGGTGATTCAACTACAGTATTTCACTAGAAAGTATGAGCAGATTCAGATAACATCCAATATTCTCAATTCTCATTTCAGAATGAACCCAAGAAATGAAAGTTCGAATATTATTCAAATTCAGCATTCCCTGGTTTATTTATGTAAAGCAACATCGTTCACACCTGAAAACTGCGATGACAATTTAATCTTTTTTGACATGTGCATAAAACAACATTGAAATAGTGTAAAGGCATGTAGACTGTTGTTACTTGTTGGGCATCAAATTTATGGTATTGGACTCATATCTTACCTTTTCAGGATTCACTGCAGCAAGAGCAGCCATGGTTGAAATTCTCAGCAATGCGAAATTATCAAGAGCAAAAGTGTCTTCAAGAAGTAAAAGAATTTTACACAGCTCCAGTGAAATCTGAAAATATACATACGGATTATACACTTAATTCCATCAATTTAAACACTATTTGCATGTCGAATTCACCTCTCCAGCTGACACAGGATCTTCCTCAATCAGTCTTTTTGCACTCGTTAAGCAAATTTCCATTTTATCTCTGTTATCTTGTTGTAATAACCCTTCCATGCAATCTCTAATGTACATCGGTGCTTTTACCTGGTCATTTAACAAAATTATAAATTTTTTGAAGCGATTCCTTCTGAAATGGGGAGAATGTTTGCTTATCAATAAACTCAATACATGATGTAGATTCATTTCTATCCGCAAATGCATCCAAGAGTTCGAAACCAGATACGTTGCACTTGCAGCCTGAATTATCTAATTTTTAATGTCTTCAAGTCTTTTATAACAGCCACGAAAAATGAGCTAAGTTTTATTTGCATTCATTGTATTATACCACTTACTAGTTACTATCTCATATATTAACCGTCTAATGTTATTTTATCAATCCAATACAAATCCACTATTGAATTATGAACTTTTCATAAAACTTGAAATAAAAGAAATCGAAATTGTTAGGTTCAAAACTACCTTTGTATAGACTTCATCATTGGACAAATCGTAGGGATGCAGATCATCATCATCATCACTATCACTCGATTCTTCAGAAATATCATCAATTTCTTGATTTTTGGATTTTTCACCTTCAGTTCCCTTTGTTTTTGAGGTTTTACCAGAAAGCACCTCTAAGAAAGTTGCTTTTGAGGTTGTGAAAGTTGTTACTGACCCAATATTACATGATGGTTTATTGATAACAGAAATAACAGCTTCTTTTACAGTCACGAAATCTTGGCAAAGGGACTGATAATATTCTTCTGGTGGTGCAGGTTCAATGGCTAGCAAATCGGTTAGTTCTTTTGTTTCATCATCTTTTTCATAACCAAATTCCAGTCTGACAAAATGAATTATGAATTTTTAGATGGAAAAATTAGAAGTACAAGAGTAATAATTAGGCATTAAAATGTTCATATAGGTACAGTTGATCATATTTTCGGTATGGCGCATCATGCTAAGTGTTAGGAATACGCCTGCCGCCCTGCGTAGGTTCGCAGATGCAAATCCCATGCGGGGATAGTTATGTGCGATAGGATTGCTGGGCTCTTCGCCGCTGTAAGGTGGTTCACGTGACCGCTGGTCGAGTTATGGCTTTCTTCAACATCAAGACCATGCTCCCGAAAAACAAATAACTGGCAACTAATCCCATAATCGACTTGAACTGGTATCGTAACCAGATAAGAGGCCAGAGGCCGTGGTTTTCCATATGATTAAGCCGTTTTTATAGGCTTTCCTCTCCTCCGGGATAAATATGTAAATCCCATCCTAGTCATATGTAAGAAACAAATTACCAATACTGCTAGGAGTGGCAATAATCGATTGCCATTTTATTCGATGATGGAAATAGGCAAAAGCATATGTGTAATTTGGACATTATTCAGTGTATATTTCTATATGTGAATGTATTTTCATCTGTTCCTATTATAAACTACTGATTGTTGCTGATTTCCAAACCGACGATATATCAAAGTGTATGTAAATTCCCCACAAAATGAAACAGCCCTGCGTCATAAATCAATAATATGATGTCACATATTCAAGCATGTATTACTTTGGGAAAATGTTCAACAAATGAACTTACTTATTAGTCCCTTTAATGTTTGCTTTCTCAGAAATAACCTCTCCTGCAATCATTCCAAGTCTGCGAATTTTTGGATCTGTCGAGTCGAGGTGACTACTCATCCCGGGTGCTAACCACATAGTCAGTTCTGTCAACAACAACAAAAATGATTTCAAGCTCTGCAGTCTATCCACCAGACGTTCCTTGTAAAAGTACTGGTATTACCCCGATATAAAATAGTAGGCATTTGTTTACAAATGACAAATCGACTTCCCTTTTCATATCGCTGCCAAGTGTATGAGGTTGATAAAATATCTTAAAAGCATTTTATCGTCGACCAAACGTTACAGACGTTATAACTGCGGCAATATTCCAATTTCAAAATGTATGTTATTCATGGTTTACATAATCTTATGATTGTACGATTAAATATGTCTGACTTTTACGACACATTTACTGCCCTTCTGTAATACGAATCGCGACGCAATATAAGCAAATTTGGCTACTGTATCGACATGAAATTACCACAAAGGCAAGTTTTATAAAGTAGTGCGTCACGGGTGAGCCTGTTTTTTTTCGCACAAAAACGATCATACTACGATGAAATGTTTGATATCCATAGTTGTACCTATCTGCAAAGTAAGTAAGTTTAGTCATTTTCAAGTTGTAAATGCGGGCAGACAATTAATAATTATTTAAAAAACGGAACGAAATTGCTAACATACCTAAATTATATATTTTTTAATCAAGTATCACGCCGCAGATAATAAATTCCAGAGCAATATTTCACTTGATCACAAAGTTAATGTTTAATTCAGTACATTTTATTTTCTGCGTCAGAAGCGATATTAGTCAAATGACATTATGTATAATTTATACATGAAGTTATTTATTAACCGCAAGGCCTGTAATTATTAAATCGCAATGATATTCCCAGTTGGTTTGTAAAATATAGAACTGTTTACTTCGATCAAACATGGCAGTGGATTCCGTGCGTGCGTAACTATTTTTGTCAGAAAAGTCGTATTGACCAGATGTCAATATTTTTGGCACGTCTTTATTGAACCGAACTGACGTATATCGAGGCCGTTTTCATTTGATTGATCAAATCCTGAAACCAGAAATTGAAATACAGGTCACGTTTGCTATTTCCACTTCTTGAATCTTAATTTGGTTCGATTGAATGATCATCCATACGTAGTAACCGATGTGAATAAAATAGAATGAGAATACGTGAAAATTTAACAAAAATAAAAAGTGCAAATTCAAAATACCATGTTGGTTTTGATCCACTTGGTGTTTCGCTAAATGTCGAATACAAATAAGAATTGCTTGAGTTACATATTTATGTTGTTCATATGATACATGCTTGATCGAACTTGAATCTGACCAAACTGAGAGAAGTTTTTTCAATGTCTGAATAACAAAAAAGCAAAATTCTAGTATTATGTATAATCATTTCACAATGGGTCAGTTTGTTTGTAGTTGTCAGTTACCCAAATTGTAGCTGGCAAATCCGTCATTATTGGTGTGGTTATTTTGAACGGACCCTTAGTTAGGATAATCAGCATAAGATTTTTTAAGTTCAAGTTCTTAAGTTTCTAAGTTGCTTTAATAATAATTTCATTTAAACTCTGCAATTTGAATCCTCTGTGCACAGGAAATGGGAAAACCACCCAACAATACACAGTTTCAGGTTAAGCAGAGCATGAAAAGGGATTATATTAAACTGGAACAACTCCTTTCATAATGTGAAGTAGAGTTTATCGGTTTGAAATTCAATTTGCACAACCAACATTGGTCGATCTATTTAACGAGTCTAAACATGAGCCATTCAAATATGAAATTGATATATTTGTGTAACCATTGTTGAATAAAGCCATGCTCATGCATGCAAAATGCCATATAACAACCTATATATGTATAAACGAATAATAGTGAGTATATATTTATGTACAATCGGAAGGCTCAAAATCAACAGATGATTCTACAATGAAAAAAAAAATTATTGCAATTTACATGTATTTAGTGTGTCTTCAAGTTGTAAGATACTAAGGGATGAAACGATTTATCCATGGATTATATATAATTAAAACAACCCCACATTAACCATCGCACTTACCTCTAAAACCAAATTCTGTGTTGTTATATTATCTGCAACGTATCCTATAATATTTTTCAGAATGTTCGATTCAGGAAAACATTTCACAAGAATAAATTTGTGCAATAGTAAAAATTTGAACTTCATGTTTTTTTTAATCAAATCGCCAAATATCCATTCCATGCATCCATACCTAATAAAAAGAAACATTTATATTAGGATTTTTTAAGCATTTGAATTATTGTTTTAATATAAACGAAAGCAATGTCATGAATAAATTGTTGTTATTGACTACAATTAAGCGATTAGTGTCAGGACATGTTATTTATGCTTTAAATTTAAATCCTCTGTGGCATATGCATATTCTATATCTGAAGTTACATTTAATTAAAGTCATAAAATACCGTTTTCACTCTTATAGAACCCCCCACCCCATATGTAAATACTGTAATTTGGTATTTTAGAATTTCCCTTGAATTTATTTTAATTTTGAATGTTTTAGAAACTGATCAATAAATTAGCAAATTTATGAAATTTCACACAAATCTAGGTTTCTTGCCTATAATAGGAAATTTAACAGAAAAAATCAGTAATTTTGTTTATCGGATTTTTTACAAAAAAAATTTTCAAATATTATCTCCCATCATTGACTTTCTCCTGTTTTTGTGCAAAAGTGATACAAATTACTAACCAAGGTAGACTTTTGGTGATGAACAGAACAGTTGGCTCTAAACATCTCTCAGGAATACTATATATGATTTTTTGAACAATTCTTCTCCAAACAAAATCAGTGTTGCAATTAGCAACACAAAGAGGCAATAAAATTCCAAGAAATACATCTGTAAAATGAGGATATAGCAATGACAAGTACCGTTTCAAATTGGCCGAATTTATTGAAAAAATTGGCTGATAAAACTGGAACCAAACTGGATATCTCCAACCTGAGATGCGTATGGTAGCAAAAAAAAAAAAACATTAATGCCAATCACTAGTCTTGGTTCTACCTACACCCCACAAAATCTTCATATCCATCGAATATTGAAAACTTGAGATAACCTTCTGCGGATTTATTTTTAAGAGTAAAGTATTGCCGCATTATTTATATTTTGAGTCTTCATGTTCATTAGAATCTGATAACAACAAGAATATCATTAACAATATAGACTCCTGGATAAATTTAGGTCAAATCAGGTCAATCCAACTTAGAAACTGAAAACTGTATGATACAGTAGAAACTTGGAATTCAAACTCATTTTTCCAGAACCACAAATGAACAAACTGCCTCCAACTCAAAAATGAGTAAATATTTGAGGTACCTCTAACCATTTCAAATATATCATTGAGATACTATAGATATACTGATGGAAGGAAACTGTATGTTGAAAGTGCAAGGAAATTAAGTTTCTTGAATGAACTTCTATCAACATCTTTAGATGCCAGAACAACTAGCAAATTAATCTGTAATGCAGTATATTATTGCAGTTTCTGATTGGTAACTGTATTCAACACCATCCGCTGAAATGAATATATTCATATATATAAGATAGAAAGATTCACATATATTTATACCGGGGGAAAGGAAAGCCGATAAGACGATTTAACCATATGGCGAACCACAGCCCTCGTCCCGTTACCATTTCATGTCGGTTATAGGACTAGTTAGTTATTTGTTTTCGGACAGATAACCTCAGAAACTCACTCATAATTTCCAACCTACCAAAACTTACCAGCTTTTCCGTTCAGACAAAACTGCCCAATCATTCGTGCTAAAAATGCAACTGAAACATTCTTTTCTTTTCTAACGTTGTTCACCAATGCAACCAACACATCACCAGTTTGAACTGCCAGTAGTTGGAAGAATTGTTCATGATGAAAAATGTCACTTTATGAAAACAAATAACGAACAGTGTGACATATTTACAAAAACATTCATCTATTTTGAAAATTAAAAAAAAAATAAAATGTACAAAAATGTTCAAACTTCAGTCAGTTTGTAGTAAATGAAATGGGTTATGATGGGCGGGCCTCATATCATCCTGGAATAAAGGCACATAGTACAATCCATTACTAAACGAACTTCTATATGTCTTATCGCATCATTGCTATTTATCATGGAGTATTTTTTCAACAATATTCGAACTCAATACAAGTGAAAGAAGATAAATCTACATAGCAATTCAGAAATGAGTACGTTTCCGACATACCTGAATTTTCCATGTGTATTATTTGCAATTTTTCCAGGTAGCGAGTTGATAACTGATAATAAATTTATCGTTATAGTCTGCTGCTGATAATTATGTTTTCGATCAGTTTTTGATGATTCTTCAAGTAAAAAAGCAGAAAATCTTCGGTTCTTGAAATATTCTTCTAGTAGCTTGAGACACAAGTGTTGCCGCACTCCAACACTGCAGAATGCAGTGACAATTAATAGACCAAAATGGCAAATTCTGGCAGCCATTGATCTAGGGTAATTTAAGCAGAAAAAAGACAATCCAATGAAAAAAATGAAGTTTCATAATATACCATAGTGAAGCTAACCCAAAATCAAACTCTTAGATTAGTACGTCACATCCATTGGCGTGTGGCGCATCGTACTAAGCAGTTGAAATTTGCTTGCCACTGCATCTCTGATTACCGTGCGTGGGTGTGCAGGTTTGAATCCTGTGAGGGATAATCATGTGTGAGAAAATTGCTGCACTCCTCGCCACCGTAGGATGGTTCAGATGACCATGGGTCAGTTACGACTTTCTCCACCATCAAGGTGATGCACCTTCAAAACTAATCCCATGCCCGACATGGACTGGGAAATGGACGAGAGGTTGTGTACGCTATATGATTGAGCGGACTAATTGGCTTTCCTCTCCCCCGGGACAAATATGTAAATCTTAATTGTATTATAATTTTAACTTTTATATAGTCAGCGTGGAAACAATAAATAACTAAAGTACATATGAAATCATAACATACTTCAGTTTGTTGAAAGCTGACGTTAATGACAAAAAAGAAGATCTTGGTGCATAACTGTTGTAAAATTGATTCAAAGTTGAGTCCTTTTTCACACATATATCATCCAGTGAATTTTGTACCCATTCAATGTCAGCATTTATAATGATGTTCTCTAGCAAGTTTTGCAAGTTTGCTTGTATTTTCGAAGAGATTGATTCAGTTTTCAGTAGCTAAAAATGATAGAGAAAACAGTAAGAAACCAGGATTGAATACAAATTGAAATGCTGAATTGAGTATACCCCACTCTTTAATTTGGAGCCACAATATATCCTGGTTCGTCTGAGAGTGCTAGGATTTGAGATTCGGCCCAGATTCGTGGACAGACATAAAACACTATATTTCAGGCCCTTCTTAATACCTACATACACTACAGCCATATTCTTCTAGCTTCTACAAGGATCCAAAGATATTTATCCCTGGCTGCCTGGTGAGAGGGAAGCTGATAAGACGGCTTAACCATATGGCAAACTACAGCCTCTCGTCCGGTTATCATTCCATGTCGGGTATGAGATTAGTTAGTTATTTGTTTTCGAATGCATGGACTTGATGGTGGAGGAAGCCACCGACCAGCGGTACGTGAAACACCTATTTGACAGCCTCTTTCATCATACTGATATTACGAATCATTAAAGTGTGGTCAAATATTCCCATTATACCGTAATAGCTGAAGAACAATTCCTGCCATTCATATTTCTTGCTCATACAGATCACTGAAGTTGAGGTCGAATCAAAATAAAATCGGAAGAGTGCAGGACTGGATACCTTGGTGAAAAAAAATATTTACCTTTGTCAACTCAATTAGCTCATTGTTCAGCAATGTGCTATCAATTTTATTCCTAGAAATAGCACTATGACATCGTCGGATTGCAGATAACCATTTTGTTTCACTGTTGAATTGAGTTGCCATCTTTATATCTTATCACACTGCCACAGAAATTTAGGCACAATCCAGCAAGTTCAGAAGTTACTTTAAAAATAATTGAATAAACAAGAATGACATATCACTGTATTATAATATTCCTATACTGTGAGACAATAAGATGACAAACAAAAAGTTACAAGATATTCGATTAATCTAGTTTTACGTCAATCATTTTTAATGTCAATGTGAGACAATTGTACACATTCAGACATTGTGTCAAGTCAGCTAATCCACAATGCGTGAACAACGTCATTCTGTCATTAGACATGAAAGGAAAATGAAGCAATGTAGTGTACATATCCTATTACACTAGTTTCAACTTGTTTTTACGAATAAATCAAGTTCATTGTATTTGACCTATTTGTATTATTCTGTGCCCAAGCCTCGTCTAAGTTTGTTTCATTGTAATTTTTCTCTGTATAGTGTATGTTTGTGCTGGTGAGCAGGCACATAATATTTCTCATCTTTTAAACTTTTAAGAAGATTTTGCTTGCTCTACAAAATTCTACATTTTTAATTTGTGTGTATTATTAAGCTTTTCAAAATAAAGTATCTATCTACGTTTGCCTTGATGCGAGAGTTCATCTACAAAAAAGCCACATGTTCACGCTCGCTGCAGATGACTCACAACAAAATAATTTGAGTTTGAGCTCTGCTGTCTGGTTTATTTTGAATGAAGCGCCAATTGTATTTTTTTCCCGATGTCAACCAACAACGAATCACGCATATCAGCGACAGGTCCAACATTTCGCGCTGTTTCTTGTTGTGCGCGCTGTCGATTTGTTCTTTTCTCGTGTGGAATTGTTAAAAGTTAAGTTTCTTCGCAAGTCAGTATGAGCTCGTTTGAGTCATCAGCACTCGGGTTATGGGGTGGAGAAAGTGAAGATATAATAAAACGAGATTTCCCAATCCACAGGGCATGCCGCGACGGCGATATTGATGCTTTGCGAAGAGCATGGGCTGTAACATCTCATGATCAGCTGAGGGCCGAAGACAAATTTTATGGTTGGACGCCAATTCATTGGGCAGCTTATTTTGGAAAGACCCAATGTCTGGATGTACTTTTGGCGTTTGGTGTTGGAGCAAATTTGAGCACAACGAAGTTTAAACAAACACCGTGTCATATTGCTTCTTTCGGTGGTCACCCAAAATGCTTGGTTAAATTACTGAGATCTGGAGCAAATTTTCACGCACAAGACTATTTAGGAGAAACTCCAATACATAAAGCTGCGCGTGTTGGAAATATAGAGGCCATTGGCGTTTTACTGACCAATGGCTCGCGAGTGAATTTGTGCAATAACAACGGTCATACGCCGTGCGATTTGGCGAGAATGCAAGGCTTTCAAGAGTGCGTGCGCCTCCTCGAATCATCGGCCCTTCAGGAGGTTTCTCGAAATAATAAGCATGGCGCATCTGGACTTATTGTTCACAGACTAAATGGTAACATCAACAACGGCCGTCATCCACCCGATGTAAATGGAAATATGCGACCCAGGAAAAGGATGTTAGACGACGAAAGTATCCCGACTTATAAGCGTAGCAGAATAGAATTTCCTAACGGTTATCATAACGGTATTCTGGCCAATTCAAATGATATTAATATGGAAATGGAGGACGAATCTACAATGCCAGTAGAAAATTCATTGGACAATAACAGTATTGTACATGATAATAATCCAAACCAATGTAGACGAGCGCCCAGCCCTGGAATGGATATTCAACTACAAGAAATGGATATGCAATTATGGTGTCACCAAAACGGCTATGGCGACACAGCAGAGACAATGCCGTCGCCTGATAAAAGTTCTTGTTTCAAACACCGACAATCATTTAGTAAAAATGGACAGAGGCTTGAAAATTCCCCAGTCTGTGCCAGAGGAATACAAGCAAGGGGATGGCATTGGAATTAATTAAGTATGGGGCAAACATGCAACGTGCACAAATTGTACATATGTTTATTTAATACAGGACTCATGCTTTGCTATGAAGATTTTTCTCATACTTACACAATGAACTAATAATATCCAATTGCTACTTCACTGCTCAAAATGTCATCCTTTTTTCAATGTTTTTATTTTTTGTTCCATGTTACTCATTTTTATATGTGCAGTATCTCAGTTGTTTGTTGAACATCGATGGTTGAAGTTATGAATTGCTTACCAATTTTAATAACTTATTTTTAAGAAATTTTTGTGCACTAGATTTTCTTGTTGGTGAAGGTTTCTGTACCTTAATGAATTTATAGGTAATTTGGGTTGTAGTTTTTTTTAGCTTTTTGTTTTTCGCTGTTATTTGCTTATTTGTCGCTGCTTTATGTTTTTCAAACCTGCCCTTTGCGGGTCTTTTTTATTTTCTATATACTGTGTGATGATAATCATTTGACCGTGTAGAAATGAGATAATTCCTCAATTTGTAAAAGGATTATGTTACTTTCTTGTATCGCCGACTCGATTATAATTTAAGACGCCGTCGTGCCGTACTTGACAGACTGTTGTAACGACACCGAAGTGAGGAAGTACAATTTCATAAATCTGACGCCCGAGGATATACACAAGAAAAACGAGGTTAATTGGGATTAATACGCATCGAATATATGCTTTGTCGACTGCCTTACAAGACGTTCCAGCGACCGAGTGAATCGATAGAGATAAATGGCGACGCAGGTGCGCGAAAGACCCGTATGGAATGATATTCTTTTTGCGCCCGAAGACTCGATTTGACGTCTAATTTTTAAAGTTTGACTATGATCTAACATCCCAATCAAGAATGAAGGTATATTTTAAGTTGCGGCGGGGAAATTTTCTTACCGCACTATATGCGTAAGCCTGTTAAACACACTTTTCTTGGTGTTGCGCATGCATACATAATTTAAGCACCAGAATATTCTGATGATGTAACAGAAGTTACGCGACACCCCTAAAGAAACGATGCTTTTGAATTATTGCGCTGCGTTGGTGTGACTTAGTGTCCATTGAGCGAAAGAAAGTCTATTCGTAAAACTGTCTTATGCGAGAATGTAGTATACTCGGTGTTAATTTCAAATTTCTGACACGCTCTCGTGTGCTATTCCAAATCATTAATAAAAAACTACAATCAATCAATGTTATTCTACTCTCTTTGGCATAAAACAACAACAAACGAACAAACAAAATATGTACAGTTACCAGGAAGACCAGCATGACCGAAAATAAATGTAAACTGTAGAAGTTACGCGTCTTCCTAACAAAACAGTGAAAGAAGATGGTGAAATAAATACACGATATGAAAACTGGCGGAAGCTTATAAATCAATTTGAGACCTGATAACACTGATAAATATAAGAACAGTGCGACACATTTTACAGACCAAATTCAACAAATGTGCCATTACCATGGTTCTCATATGGTGTAGTGTAATATATATTCCTAATACATTCCCAAAAGCACAATTACGAATAATACTATTTAACATTTTAAGAAATTTGTTAAAAATTTGCAGGTAACGTGTAATTCAATAACTTTCTAATAATACTAAACATAACACTAGGGCAAAGAGCCACAACATAATTTTGTGGAATTGTGTCACACATCTTTAAACAGATCGGTGACGTTAACCAGTTACGCCGGAACAACGCATGAACGCGCGCACACACTCAATTGTATACTAGGGCTGAAATAAACGGTAAACTCGAAAAAATGTGAGCCTCTTTAATTCCATTTCCATCCACTGGCGACATAATAATTACGTCTCAATTCCTGAATGTTTTGTAGGTTCCGTCTGGGGTTGTGAGCAAGATTTAGATGAGAGATATCCGACTTTTTAAATATATACCTGTTTTCGAAAATAAAACCTAAAGTCTTGTAGGGCGTATGTACGGCTTTAAAACTCAAAAAGAGAAGATGATATATATCGATCTTATAAACCTTGCATATGCCAAAAACGGACTTTTTCGCGAGTGTGGTGATAACCACTTTCACGACATTGAATAGGCACGTCACATAATAAGCAAAATCCCATACCATAACTCGTTATGAAGCCCTCAGTCAATGGTTGTCATAGTTCACGAAGTTATATTTTGGCATAGATGCGGATTTGTCCTTTGTTATACACTTAAACCTGTAAGAGTGTGCGCAGTGCATCACAAGACTTAAAAGCAAATCTGATGCAAACAGAATAGTTTCCATGATTGCAAAGGGTTACTGAATGTTTTTAATGTAAAAATCGATTTGTTTTTATATATTAAACAAATATACCGATCGAATGACGCTATTATAACGAGCACAATTTGGAAACAGATGCAGCTGTTATTCCAGAGTATCAGTGCCAATATCTACATTTCAAATGTCATCCTTTTTATAATGCTTTTTTTGTATCGTGTTACTTATTTTTATGGTGACAGCACATTTGCACCCACGTACATTTTGCAAACGTAAACTGAACCCGGGACATTTGCTCCCACGGACATTTGCACCCATGTACATTTGCAACCACGAACATTTGCACTCATAGAGGTTTGCACCCATGGACATTTGCACCCACGTACGTTTGCAACCCTGTACATTTGCACTCACGGGCATTTGCATTCGCGGATATTGGCACCAGCATACATTTGCACCCACGTACATTTAAACCCATGCACATTTGCACCCATGTACATTTTCACTAATGGACATTTGCATCTGCGCACATTTGCACCCAAGTACATTTGTACCCATGCACATCTGCATCCACGGATATTTAGGCGCAAAATCTACAAAAAGTATTGCTTCGGTAGCGCACACTGACTGTTCTCGTTTGTTCAATAATTCTCCGCAAGGCAAAATTGCGGTCTTACATTTAGATGGTATTGACAAGCGCGACGACATTTGTGAATATTTCATGGAAGTTGGTAATGTTCCACGGCAGGCACAATCTGGTTTGGGGGGGAGACCAAAGAAAAGGTAGAATTACTACAGGTACACTTCTGACATCAACAACCTATATATTTACAATGCTTCTTTTCGGTCAAATGCTACAAAACCGACACTGATACATACCAATGTGCTAAATGTCCGTAGGTTTATGCAAACCAACATTATACTCTGAGATGACTAAACTCAAATGATTTCCCAATTCCCAATATATCTGCAGAAAAATATCTTCTATGGGGTCATGCTGAACAGAAACAGCGTATATCCGATTGGATCGATTTCGTGTTGTAGAAAAAGTAAGGTACAGACTGCTTTTCTACAGTTGGCAGAACATAAGCCTGGATCTATCCAAAGTACTCCAGACGTATACTTTAGTTTCACAAGAGCGTATTAAAATGCAAATTGGTCGTAACAAACATTTACCTCATTGAGATATACTTTGCAATACTTTTTACATTAAAGTAGTATAAAATCTCGCATATGTAACCTGTTTTTCATAGATGAACAAGTAATCTGACGTGGTTGCATACCAAAAGCTTCTGCTTTCTTGTGAATACCCTACTTTAGGAGGTATATATGAGAATGGATACCTGGTCAAATTACTCATTTTAGATCAATCGAACTTGTTGCAGTTTCGATTTCAGTCCAATGCGAAAAAAGAAACTAAGCAAACTGATATGCATTCACTTTGACAATCGACATATAGAAAATAAATGAAAACATTATCTTTCTTTTTGATGTTTATTTATATTGATAGTTTTTACCAGAAGCCAGATTGAAATAAGAATAATTGGTAAGCCAGTAATGCAGTTGTAGCTACTACATGAACTGATCACAGTCAACCTGCAATCGTAATCCTAAAGGTCAGGTAGTGTTGATGTGAAACAGTAAATAGTATTGATGGAAGAAGAATATGGATTGATGTATGCTATGGGTATTTGTTTGTCTTTCTGACAAAGCGGCAGTTGGCCACAGACCGAGAATATGTTAACATTTGAGGGAATTTGTCCAGGATAGGAGAAACAGAACTACATAAATCAGATTTTTAGGCGAAAAACAAACCGATTTGTTAGCAAGTGGGCTGAGAACTTGCGCATAGTTAGTGTTAGTAAAAACAGAACTATATAAATCAGATTTTTAGGCGAAAAACAAACCGTTATTCAAGATTTGTTAGCAAGTGGGCTGTGAACTTGCGCATAGTTAGTGTTAGTAAAAACTTTTCGGGAAGCCTGGTAGGAAATGTCACATTTTGTATATAGAAAATATCTATTAAATTTAATGGCATATGATATGGTACTGATGTTTTGCATACTATGTGCAATACTAACCAGTTTCATTCAGTACTTCTGCTACTGTTTTCCAAATTATCTCTGCAGATTTCTGCCACTGTATGCCGGATTACACACATCGCTCAATAGCTTGCAGGGGAATGATGTTTTTATGTGCATCATGTGACCTTTTCATTTCAAGATTAGTGATATGAATTACTGGAAAATATAACGATTAATTCAATTTGTATATATATAATCTAAATTATATACTGTATATCGGTACGTAACCGTACATTGAGATCTGATAAAGAATTTCTTTGGTGGCAAATTTTTGGCTTATTATTAAACTAGAAATGTCATGAACAAACGATGACTTTATGTTTTTATCATTCATTTCACATCCGAAAGTGTTGCTATATAGTAGTACGCTATTTTACCGCGTTTCCAATTACACCAGGTCTTTTTTTCGTGGGGTGCCTTATATTTTTATTCATCAAAAACAAAATTACAAAGTAGAGAATTACAAGATTTAAAAAATATACAAAATATGAAAACCGATATCCATTTACTTATAAATAACGCATTTTTATTAAAAATAGCTGCAAAACATAAATTATCAATCATTCAAAACGTGTAGGAGAGATTTCTTGCTATCGACTAGGTCAAAAAAAAGACGCTTTATTGACTATAGGTCTTATTTTAAGGGGAAGAAGCTTATGTTAAAATCATTTTTGAAATTCAGACTAGGACTTATTTTCGAGGAAACACAGTATGTAACTATGAGAGGCAGTACGATGTTGCTAGAACTTTCTACGTTTCATGCGCAAGCTGTATTTAAATTTCAGTATCGGCATCCATTGGTATGTTTTCCTCACCCAACAATTGAAATGAAATGACTTGTAATGGTACGGTACCGGTGTCAAAGAGTGGGGCTGGTAACGTGATATACATATACAGCCAAAAATATACATATGGCGCCAACTAAATATACATATAGCACCAACTAAATATCCATATACAGCCAATTAATATCCAAATACAGTCATTTTGGTGATGTACAAATACTGCCAAGTCATATGCATATACAGCTAATTAGATATACATATGATATAATAAGTGTGTTAGGGTTAAGGTTTTAAAAATAACTCTCAGAAACTCCAAAACGACTTTTGTTGCAGTTACTTACGATAAGTATAAAATATATGTACTAATATATTGTTATATTAGCATCATTTAGTCTCTAGTGACAAGTATTTTTTATTTTTTATTTTTTTTATTGGATTTTTATTAAATAAAAACAATATGGCAATAAACAATATCGCTCAAAATCAAAAAAACAATAAATAACAATATCATTTCAGATCACTCTATAGGACATGCATTTTTTGGATTTTCATAAATTATAAAACATTATATAGCAGCAAACAATATTAATAAACTCCTTAAACCATTCCACAGATAATTTTGGATTTTATACATAAAAACATAGAAATAAATAAATAGTAATATTACTCAATAACACAGACATAAGAGTATTTTTTCATAACATGAACATAACAGTTTTAATCAAATATCTTACAGAATAAACATGAGAGAATTATTTTTTATTTTTTTTCTAAATCTCACACTTTTAAATATATATTAGGCTATATAAAGACTATAAACAAATTAGAACAAAAACACAGTTGTCAGGTTTAAGCTAAGTAATCAATGATTATATAAATAAACGCCATTTTGTATTATGTATCATGATTTTACCATTTTTCATTGCGATATATTTCTCATTGTTTCGAATATCAGAAATGAATTTATAAAAAACATCAAAAACTGGTTTACGCTTTTGAATCCGACATCTATATATAAAGAAACGTGCAGCTAACAGCACACAAGTGATGAATTGCATATCAGAAATGTCATCGAAGCCAATAAAACATTCTTTCA